CTTGTTTGTCCATCTGGGTGGCCGCGACGGTGCAGAACGTGCGGTACATGTCGCAGGTGACGGCCTGGGAAGTACGCGCACGCTTGACCGACTTAGCCATAAGCCTCTTCTGCAGCAGATCGGTGTACTCCTTGGCTGCGGCCGCGTCCAAGCCAGCCTCGCCAGCTCTCTTCTTGAGCTCACGGAACTGGTCGCGTTCAACTTGATCAAGTTCGTCTCCAACTTCACTGCCCAACTCAAACACATCATCGGGCTGCGCGTCTCGCATACGCAGAAGGTGGAGTCGATACTGTTGCCACTTGTCCAGCTGGATGCCAGAGTAGCGGACAAGTAGCTCGAGCATGGGATCGTCGAACTCATACAGGTGAGACTCAACATACACGAAGTCGACGAGACGGCCACGCAACCAAGGGATATTGTTTGCACCATCCTCCATAACGACATCAGCAGCGGCCGCGCCGCCAGCCTCGGCCGCGCCAGGCGGGGGGGCGCGAACCCCGCCTGCAGCGCCAGGGCCGCCGGCTGGCTGGGGGCCGCCGCCGCCGCCAGGCGGGGGGGCGCGAGCCCCGCCTGCAGCGTCGAGGCGGCCTGCGTCCGCGGCCGCCTGAGCCTGGCGCGCAGCCTCGCGCCGCTGCTCCTCAATCTTGCTCTGCTTGAACTCCTCGACACTGAAAGCCAACTTCTTGGAGTCGGCCTCCCGCGTCTCTCGGCGAGCCACCTCGAGGTTCTGCTCCGCCACGAGATGATTATTCTGCATCTCCTCCATCGTAGCCTTCGCACGGTTGAATCGGTCCAACCTCCACTGCACCTCCTGGGCAGCCAACCTCTCGTTTTTGGAAGCGGCCTCCACTTCCCGAGCAAGCCGCGTCTGCTCGAGCGCGGCCATCTGATCCAGCTCACCAGCCGTGAACAGACGGATCTCGGGAGGCGCGGGCGGGGCGGCGTCGCGAGCCACCCCTGCAAGGGCAGGGTAGTGAACGGCCCAGCGCTCCAACTCCTGCACGAGGTGGGGCGGCATCGGGACAGCAGCAGCGCCAGGGGCAGCAGCAGCACCGAGTCCGACTCCACCAGGACCGCCATGATGAGCCTGATCGCCATGACCAGGACGAGCACCATCAAGGTATTGACCACCGCACAGACTGCAGGCGCGGTGACCATGACGAGAGTACTCCCAGTGCATGCAGAGAGAACAGACCTTGTACGAGTTGTCCTTAGACTTGACCTTCTTCTTGCCACGGGGCCCCGACTGAGGACCGCCAGCACCCTCAGGCTGCCATACCCAAGAGCCTTTCCCTTCGCCATCAGCGACGCGCCACGGAGCGCTCCGACGCCACGCCATGGCAGAACAGGAATGGAGGCTAGCGAACCCCTATCCCCAGGGCGAACTGAGGAAGGGACCTCCGTGAAGGATGAAGACTGCCGCGGATTAGCGGTATCCAGTTTTGCCAATGCGGGCTCAGCCCGCAAAAGCATCAGTCTTGAGCCAAAATGGCTACGGAGGAGGAGGAGGAGGAGGAGGGGGAGGAGGGCGTGGAGGAGGAGGGGGGTCCGCTCCGCTGCCCACCCTGCGGCATGGCGGCGGTGATCCTCCCTCCCCCGAGGGCGGGGGGGGGGCCGGGGGGTCGGAGGTCCGCGTGGCTGGCTCGGACTGGCGCTGGAGGCCCCTGGCGGCGCCTCCGGCGCCGCCTACCGCGCGCGAGGCCCCAGGCCGCGCGGCGCGGGCGCCCTCCGCCGGGGGGGGAGGATCGGGGCACGAAGAATGACATACGCAAGCATAAAGACTCGGAGGTCCGCGCGGATTTCTCGGATCCGCGCTGGGCCCCCCGGCGCCGCCCCTGGCGCGCTCCGCGCGCCAGGCAGGGGGGTCCAGCGCCGATCCAAGAAATCCGCGCAGACCTCCGAAAAGTCATGCTTACAGTGGAGGCCGGTCCACAAGAAGCCTTCCGCAAGGAACCCAACCCTGAGACACCAGGACGCCCATTGATTTTTGGAGTGGGAGCGTCACGCTTTCCACAGCAAAATCATCGAAACCCAAGAAACCCAGGGCACCCTAGAGGCAAGCAGGGTGCTTCTTGGCATGGGCTTCCACTGTACCCCTCCCACCCATCCCTTCCCATGACGCTGCTTTTCTCTGTCCGCCGACGGGTGACACAGCGGACCTGGGACCCCCAAAAGGGCACCGTCGCGCAGTGCGCAGTCAGGAAAGGGGATCTGTGCATGAGGACGTGGGACAGAGGGGAAGTGTGTCGGAGAAGGAGGGGGTGCAGCAGGAGGGCGGGGGGGAAGGAGGGGGTCGGACGGGTGGTCTCAACGGGAGAGTATCCGTATCTCTGTGCGTTTTCCCCATGCAGCAGCCACAAGTCAGGTGCCGCAGATTTCTTTGTACACGCGGTCCTTGCCAGCCCAGGCTGAGGGTGCAAGTGAAACAGCTCCACCGCGTTACTCCGTGTATCCCCGACTAAAAGTGTAGCGGTAGGTGTAACCCCAAGCCCCCGCGCATCTCTTTAGAAGACGCGCCTCTCCTAGCGACGCTCCCTGGCTGCTCCCTGGCTGAACATGTGTCGTCTGCCCTGCATGGACTCAGAACGACCGAGGACTTCGCCCGGGGGTACATGTTCCATGTGCCATGGCTCCCTCTGCAAAGCTCGAAATAAATCCTCTGCACACTCCCGCCGAACGAGATATTCGCGGTCTTCATCGAGGATCTCGTTCCTGGTGCAGCGTCGCGTCGAGGAAGGCTGCCGACGATGGCGATAGCCAAACAGACCGTTTCCTAAGCATTTCAACGTCTTCATTACGGACCTATCAGGGTTGCGCAATGCCCTTCGTAACTCATCCGCCGAAGTGCGGGCAAAATATTCTGAGGCTGGAAAATTCAAGATAGTCCCGGCGCTTCGGAGTGCAAAGGTCCAACAATCCCCCTGCAGTGCATTGAAAGCCTGCTCACAAGCGCACCGCACGCTTTCCCACATGCCGTACATCTGAAGTGCATGAGTGACGGCTCGCGGCAAGCACACAATGGGAGTATCAATGAACGGGCCTGTACCAAAGAGAAAACCAAAATCAATACGAAAAATCCGCCGGCCCCGCTGGGCACATGGCTGCCCAGCCTTTGCCAGACTGCTGTCCGCCCTTGTGACGTATATGGTGCTCGTTGCCTCCTGCCTCGCTGGCCCTGTCCCACTTCTCGTGCTTCCTGAGTGGAGAGTGAAGGCGGGGGGGGGCGGTGCATTTCAAACAACCAGCGGGGATGACCAGCAGCCTCCTGGCAGGCCCAGGCTCCCTGGGCACTCCCTCGAGGACACGACCGGACGGCCACGAGGTGCCGGGGGGGCATCCAAGACGGTCCCGGGAGGGCCCGAGGAGGGCCCAAGAATGCCCCAGAGCTGCTCCAGTATATAAAGGGGCCCCAGAACACACAAATAAATACACACAAATAAAAAGATTCCCCATGCTTTCCAATATTTTCTGGGTGTTTGTCTTCCCCCCCCCCCACTTCCCATATTTTCGCATATTTTCCTCGGGATCGACGATTAATTGTGTCTGTGTGTTTCTTTCCCTCCTGAGTATAGCCACCACGTGCACAAGCCTGGGAGGCTGGCGACAGAGGGCGCAGCCCTGTCATGTTCACGTCCAGACTGCGAAGCACGTCCGAGAGACGGGTGTGCTCGGAAGCTGGGCGAGGGCTGGTAGATCCGTGGAAGAAAAAACATCTCCTGGGATAAAGCTCAGCGCGCTAAGTAATAAAAAGGCTGCTTCCCGGAAAGAAAAAGCAGTTTCCCAGAGCTCCGTTTTAGCAGCCACGGGTTTACCCGCCTTCGCCCAGCTTCTGATGGGTTCTGGTGGTTCCACCTGTCATTTCAAGTTCCCTCATTCTTTTTAATCCCCCTAAACCCTCGCCCCCCAGGCCTCGCCCTGTGCTGCCGTCCCCACAGCCACACCCCTGAGGACCGTCTCGACTTGGGGTCCTGGAGGATCGATAGGGTTCTGCATGGCTCCAAGACGGCCTTCAATGTTCCCCCAGTGTCGCCAAGGACCCACGAAACGCCTCACGAGGGCCCCAAAACGGCCCAAGATAGCATCCACATGGCGCTGAGAAGACATCACCTCAACGAAGTCCCACGAGGAACTCGATCAACACATGCTGCGGGAACTTGTACGATTGACAGCGGCCAACGATCTCACAACCCCGCTGCCACCAGCGCCGTGCGGGCCATGCCTGTGGGGGTCTCCACGGGCGTGCAGGATGGCGAGGCTTGCGGCTACAGGAGGTCTTGCATGCATAGCATTTTGCTGAAATATTCTTACCTGTCCACCCATACCATCTGGCCCTCTACGCGTCAACATCCGGCGTGTCTGGCCAGCAAGGTCCGCCTCCCTCTTCCTCCTCGTCGTCGCCACCGTTGCCTCTTCTCTTCTCTGCCTGGAACCCTCGCTGGCCAGAGGGGCACATACAACCGTGTCTGCTGAAGCGTGCCCTCTTGCACCAAATTCTCGTTGCAAGCACCGTTGAGGCCTGTTCTCCACTTCCGTCATTTTTGGGAGCAAGCCCTGCTGCCTTCAGTGTCCACTGATGTCCGGTGTGGAGCTCGACTCTTGTCCGCCTTGATTGTGCACACACTTGTGTCACTCATGGAGTCGCGTAGAAAGGCACGTGGATCGCCAAGGGCTGGGGTAGGTGTGCTTTAAATAGTGCCAGCGCCGCTCGCCTTGGAGGTGGAGCTTAGAATGCTGGGCAGGTTACCGGCAATGTTCATTAAAGTTGTTTTGGGGGGGAGGGGGAGGTGAGACACTCCTTCCCTCTCATTGGCAAAGCTCCTCGTGGGAACGAAAACGAATGATACGGCCACCTGGGCTTTCCTTTATTCCCTGGCCCCGGCCCTCCCTCCCCCCACAGACGGGGCGGGGACACGATAGAGGCGGCGCGGCACGGGAGCCCGGACGGGTTCAGAGTTGCTCCGTTTTTGTTACCGTTTCGCACGCGCCTCTGGCCCATGCCAGACTAGGCGACATGGGCAGGTTGCCCGCAGCCTGCAGCTGGCACTGGGCTTCGACAACAACCTCCATCCACATGTCCCAGCTGTGCCGCGAAGCTGCATGTTCGGGCTTCCGCAAGCCCAAAACGGCCATAGAGGCCCCAGGAATCGCCCCAGGACGAACCAACATAGGGAAACGAACTCTATACACCGACGCTTTTCCCGACCCTGCGCTGAAATTCGCACAGAAACGCGAATTCTGGTGTATACGGGATCCTGGTGTATACATTTTTCGTTGTTTTCCCGGGACATCGGGGAAAAAAGTATACACCACACCACCCCAGCGTCGTCCCCGACCCTCAAAAAGTCCTGGGATTCAAGAAACAGCCCGCCACTGGTAATGTATACGTTCCAGTTTCCGACAACAAGCCTCCAGCACCGCCCCAAGAAGGCCCCAGAGGGCTCCGAGGTGGCTCAAGAGGACCGCCGGACGGCCCCAAGAGGGGCCCAAGACGGGGAGCTCGAGCTAGCCTTCAGAGCCGTCCCCTTCCGACGGTGGCCCCCACGGCCCCCAACCCCAGGGAGCCCAGAAGGGGCCAAGGGTCGACAGGAAGCCCCAACAAGGGGCCCGGAGGAAGGATCCCAAGACAGCTTCCAAGAGGTCTCCCCGAGGCCTTCGCGAGGCCCCAGACCATTGGCCAAGAGATCTCCAATACGCCTTCCAGAGGGAGGGGGGAAGAGAGGGAGAGGAGGAGGAGGAGGAGGAGGAGGAGGACGACGACGAGGAGGAGGAGGCAAAGCGAGGAGGCAGGAAGAGGAGAACTCGGTTGTGGACAAGATGTATCCTTCAGTGCATCACGTCTGTCATCCTTCTCCTACGTCGCCCTCCAGGCAATTACTGTCAACGCTTTCGCTGACTCAGGCCGTGAAGAACGCCTTGGACACCTGGCATCTCAGAGCACATTTTAGCAACTTCTCCCGTTTCGTCTTCCACGCGACTTCGGACCGCACTCTACGCGCGACGCATCATAACTATCCCAATGAAGCCGCAATATTCAAACAACACTCACATACTGTCCCTGCCGTGCGTGCCAGGAAACGCTCTCTCACAACGATGCCCGACAGAGACCCCTCCCTTTGTAAGTCTGGACGTGGTGACGCGAAGCGTTTTGAATATTACCAGCATCTGTGAGCATCACGTTATCAAAATGACCATCGCCCACACCGATAACATAGTTGGACACCAGATAAGCGACTGTTGATGCTGCAAGCGACCGTATCTTTTGCGAGTTCATGCGATCGAGCACGCGGCACAAGGCATCTCCTCTGCAAATCCGCTTCAGCTTTGCTAGCGTGATGGACTGCGGCACCCATTCCACCAAGCCTGCGGCCCGTCCGATGCATATCACCTGGTACGTGAGAGCCTGGACGTAAGTGGATCCAATCATCACGCAGTCGTCTTCCCAAACCCGATTCATCATGCGAATCAATTCCTGGGCGAAGAAATCAGACGTCACATCCTCTTCCTTCAGCAAGTAGACGACTGGGTCACCCCCCTGCTGGTCGCACCACATCTGCAACTTGACCGGCTGTGTAGAGGACTTCATGCGTGACATGATCTGCGCACGGACTGCGATAAAATGTGCGCCAAGGCGCACTGGCTGTGGCAGGTCGAAGGGTGCACATGGAACCTCTTCAACACGATTGCGTACCTCGTGCAGTAGTGCTCGCAAAGCCTGGGCATCTCGAGACATGTCAAATGGCCGATCCATTGCGATTTGAGATGGCACCAAGCCCTAGGCCTGGTTGAGCGGCACCTCGGGCGAACGGGGCTTCGACACATTATTGGGCCAGGACCGTTACGGAAGAGGAAGGCTGCTCGTGACGAACCTCCTCATGCATCCGCATCCTCCGTCTCTTCGTGAGACCCATGATGCAACATCACATTCCAAATCCTTGTCATCCTCCTCGTCCTCCTCCTCCTCGTACTCTTCGTCGCCTCCTCATCCACCACACACCCAAATTCCTTTTTCTCATCCTCGTCCTGCTCCAAATATTGCTGCTACAACTCCTCATCTAACACCTCCTCCTCCTCCTCCTCCTCCTCCTCCTCCTCCTCCTCCTCTCCTCCTCCTACTCCTCCTCCTCCTTCATCCTCCTCGTCACCCCTCGGTCCTCCTGCTTCGTCTCTCCTTCCTCCTCACCGTCCATTTCCTCTCAACCCTCCTCCCCCTCCCAAGTCTCCTCCTACTCCTCGTCCTACTCCTCAACCTCCCTCCTCGTGCTCTTCCTCATCATCGTCATCCTCTCTCCATCTCGCCCTCTCCTCATCATCGCCATGATTCCCTCTGCTCAAGACCGCCCTGTCAAGTCAAGCATTTCAGCGGAGATTCCAACAGTGTCGGTGCTGGCTGTGTCAGCAGCAGCGGTCTGATCGGCCGTACATCAAGACATTGCTCGGCTGCCTGCATCATATCATCGGTGGCGCCCTGATGGACAAAACCGTGCGACATAATGATCAACTGGTTGAGGGGAACGGAAGGGGGGGACCGCCTCAGGGTGTGAAAAATCGAGCTGAGATCGGCGATGCATCGCCGATAGATCGGCGATAGGCACCAAATAGTGAAACAACCCGTTCCTGCGTGGGGTGGGCTATGGGCTCCCTATCGGCGATTAATGGGCGATTGGGGGTCGATGCATCCCCTCTGAACCTATCCCCCCCGAACGTTGCCCTTGACCATACTGGTTGTATCATCACGTTCTGACCACTGGAGTCTCGAGGCAGCATTCTCGGCCGCCTTCTCCCTATCCTCGTGCCCTGACTGACAACGCCTCGAGATGCAAAACGTTCGACGGTGCTCCTGTGAGGGGCAGCGCTAGCGGGGACAGGCCCAGGGGGGAAACATCGACCCAGAAGCGGCGATGCATCGCCGATAGATCGGCAAGAGGCCCCCGACAGCGCATTCGCGGCAGCGGGCGGTGTGGGGCTACCGTGCCCCTCTCGGCAACGACGGCGCGACTGCGGGGGTCGGTGCGTTCTCCCGTGATAGGGGGACTTACCAGCCTGGAACATATCCCTATCCCTAAGCTGGGCATCGCCTCATCACAATGCCAATCTTAGGGATTCCCTTAGTTTTTCAGGGCGCATCCCTAAGATTGTCATCGCCTTTTGGCGTGTCAATCTTAGGGATAGGGATAAGTTCGAGCGAAGCTGGTGAGGGACGAAAAAGTGACATAAGCATAAAAACTCAAGGAGGTCCGCGCGGATTTCTTGGATCCGCGCTGGACCCCCTTCCCTGGCGCGCGGCGCGAGCCAGGGGCGGCGCCGGAGGCGCCCCCCCACGGGGGGCCCCGGCGCCGATCCGAGAAATCCGCGCGGACCTCCGAGCTACAGTCAAAAACCCTAATAAGGACGCGCGACTTTGCTCAGGGTACCCTTGCGTCCTGGCTCTTCCTTGCTCTTGCGTCCTTGAGGTTTTCGTCGTCCGCCGCCCCAAAAAAAAACAACTTCGGCTTCCAAGGGTCTTGCGTCCTCACCGCGCGTCCTTCTTGGGGTTTTTGACTGTATCTTTGCGCCAGTGTTCGTTCCCCTACGTGAACCGATCCCTCCATAACCCTGCCCTTGAATTGTGCTCCGACCATGGGGCCGGGCTGACCAGGGCTCCGGCGCGAGCCCTGAGTTGCACAGATCGTGGGTCCTCCGCATGGCCGCTGCTGCTGAGGGGGCACCCAGGAAGCTCCTCGACCCTCTTCCGCACGGACTTGGGAGAATCTCTGACGCCCATCAAAAACCACTGAAAGAAAAGCATCCTCCTCCTCCTCCTCCTCCTCCTCCTCCTCCTCTCCTCCCTGTCCTCCTCCTCCTCCCGCACTGACGACGAAGACGATGACGACGACGACGACGACGACGACGACGACGACGATGGCAGCGGCGGCGACGACGACGACGACGACGACGACGACGACGACGACGACGACGACGACGACGGCGGCGGCGGCGGCGAGGCCAGCGGGCTCCGCCTTGCAGAGGCGGTTCCACCCGCCTGACCTCTATCCTGACGTGCACGGGCCCGGTGGTGTCGGGCAGCGTGCTGGGCAGCCCCTCCTCAGCGTCGGCAGGCCCAGGGAGGGAGGCATCGAGGCATCGCGGGGCGAGGAGGCACGAGAGGAGGGAGGGGAGGGAGGGAGGGAGGGACAAGCGGACGGGACGGGAGGGGCGCGAGGAACGGGTAGGTGGTTGAACGAGCTTTGTCTTCTAGCCCCTCCTTCCCCTGCTCGGTGGAGGGGGGTATCACTGTTCCCTATTATTAATGTACACCCCCTCCCCCAGGCGACTGGCAGCCAAACAAGAACAATGCCGACCCTATGCCCCCCACCCCCCAACCATCCATCCGTGTCCAAAAAAATACAAACCACACTCTGCCTCCAAATTCGGAGCCTGCGCAACCAACCCGATGCGGGTCCCCCACCATCCCTGTCAAAAACAATACAAAATACAATTTGGGGCAAAGTCTTGAATCAGGGTCATGAGGCCCGCGGGGTGGTGGCGCATGGCTGTGCGCAGGCCCACCAGACACCATGATGGGCAGTGGCTTGCGCGGATGGTGGGGGCCGACATGTTTCCAGATGTGTACTGGCACGTGCGCACCTGACGCACTCTGCACATGCCCAGAACGTGATGCACCTGGCGCGGCTGGAGTATGCGGCACACCTGGCGCACGTGGAGCACGTAGCGCATCTGGCGCACCAGGCGTGCCTGGCACGCTCGGGCCCCAGGGGTGCCTGGCGCGCGTGGCGCGCCTGGCACGCGTGGCGCACCTCGCCCCAGCGTCGCGCACATGGGGACGGTTTTGGTTTCCAGTAGCTGCCCACCCAAAGACGACCGCTGAACATGCTGAGGTTCGGGTGTCACTTATGTGTTGGATGGGCGTGTGGGAGTGAGCTAGACGGCTTGCTATCTACGAGGGCGCCTTGACCCCTCCCCACCCCCTCCCCTGGGTCTGGGAGGGGAGGGGCCTGGGTAG